ACACTTTCATAAGAAACGCAGACCTTGTACTGGTGCTCGTGGCAAATTTAGTATGTATAGCACACATAACAAGTCTGTAACTACGAAAAGTTGGTCGTTGCTATTCAAAAATTAGGTATCCATTGCAACCAAATAAAAAATAACACCTTAATAAGAAGCGCAGACCTTACACTGGTACTCATACCAAATTTAGTTTATATAGCACACATTACAAATCTGCAACTACAAAAAGTAGGTTGTTGCTATGCAAAAAAATTAATGCCTAAATAAAAAAAAAAAATGCCTAAAACTAAATAAAAAGTAATGCCTTCATAAGAAGCGCAGACCTTATATTCGTACTCATGCCAAATATAGTAAATGTAGCACTAATATTAAATTAGTTATTAATTTTGTCCCATTCTGCCCCACTGGGCAGCGCGTTTTTTGCGTGTAAAGTTACACAACTTTACATTAAATTTATGCAATTTGGAATTAAAATGAATTAAAGTTGTTTTCTAATTGAAAATAAGTTTTATCTAGTGTAAAAATTTGCTTTTGATTTACGTCACACAGTGGGGCAGAATTGCTTCAAAACTGGACATTTGACAAAAATAAAAAATGGCGTTATTTTTTTTTATTTTTTATTTATTTAGGTGCCCCAAGAAGACCTAATGGTCTTGTCACAGAGCACTGCGGAAGTGCATTTAACCAGGAAGTTCATGCCTCCTTACTTACCGTGACGCGAAAATATGTACAGAGTTGGTTTCGAACCTGGATTTAATGAAGTTAACGATAAATTATCTTTAGGAAATTTTTATTAAACATGATTGAATGCTCAGTAGTCGTAGAAGCAGTTTGTAAATACGCATCAAAAAACCTGATTGTTTCATTCTTGCAATCGGCTTTGGAAGTTTTTACAAAAATTCCTCGTGGCAATATACTTAAATATCCGAACTATTGTGAAATCAAGAAAATAAAATTTAAAGATATTTCGAGAAATGTGTCTTGTTGTAAAAAAATTTGAAACTATAAAATACAGTTGAAACCAGTGTCAGAAACAACTGAGGCAGAGCGGGTTAGAAAAAAAATTGTTTATAAGCTTTACATTAGGCGTCCAAGAGAAACTATATCTTAGCTTGTTTAAAATTACGAGGCAGCCCATTTACTCGCGAATTAGATGTCAATAAATATATTGAAAAAGAAAAAGATCTGCTAAATGTCAAAAACAATTGATGAATGGGATGTTTATTTTAGTAATACAGTAGATCACGGCCGCTATAAAGTTATTTTGCATTTTCACTAGTAACTGTTACAAATTGTTTCTTATATGAACTGATTTCAAGTATAATGCCTGATTTTTTATGAATTTATAACTAAAGGAACCTGTTGTACCTAGAACAGTTTTTTAGATATATATTTTTTATTATAATTTAACGTAGAGCACACAAACCATAGTTGCATATTTTGAAAGGTCAAATATTTGGGTATTCACCACCAAAATATTGGAAATATATATTTATTTCATACTTAGCACATATTTATTTATTATTATTATTATTTTTTTTTGCATTTCTTTTTTGTTGTTTGTTTTTTTGTTTTGTTATTTTAGGTACCCCAAGAAGACTTAACGGTCTTGTCACAGTTAAATGCACCGCGGAAGTACATTTAACCAGGATGTTTACGCCTCCTTTTTTACCGCAACGCGAAAATATGTCCAGAGCTTGTTTCAATCCTGGATCTTCTGCTTATAAAGCAAGTGCTCTAACCACTGCACCACCGCCGCACTTATCAATATTGCATAATTTTAAAACCAATTATATTTAATCAATTCCGGAAAAATATTAATAAAATCAATAATTATAAATTAACTTCAATTTTAAATTAAAATTAACCTTTAATTAAATTTTAGAAGCAAGCGTGCGAATTTTAGAAGCAAGCATGCAAATTTTAGAAGCGAGCGTGCGAATTGAATTATTTTCACATCATAACTTAATTTTATTTGTTTCTCAATTGATGCCTAATTCCAAACGCAGAACATTTTGACACATGTTCAATTGAGATCATATTGACACATTTTGAAAAAGAGAGATTTATTCAGTTAAAGATAAAAACTGGGTTTATAATGTATGCAAAGCTAGTTATAAAGAGAAAATGAGATAAAAGTTGTGAATTATGATGTATGTAATCGTGCTTTAAACTTTAATTGCATCTTTGCAGAAAAAAAAATCTTTTTAACAACTTTTACTGAGCAAAAAAAAAAAGCCAATATAGAAAACGTTTTATGGCATCTTGGAGTAAATTTCTTTATGTTTTGTTGCTAAAAAAACATTTTACTATTTAACACATTTATTTGCTTTTTTTAATGTAGTTGTATTTATTTTATAAACAACAATATAAATGCATGAAAAAAGGTATTATTTTTAAGTTTTCTAGATCTTAACTTAAACTTAAACTTAAATTTGAGTCACGTGTACAATTGTGAATATGGATAAGCTAACTTTTTATGTAAAATAAAAAAGACACCAACAAGATTTTTATTTTTAAGTTTTCTAGATCTGAACTTAAATTTGAGTCATTAGTGGGAGTATGTTGTGATTACAAATAAACTAACTTCTAATGATTATGTTGAATAACCTAAGACTATCTAAGACTATGGATAAACCTAAGACTATGGATAAACCTCTAATGTTTAGTTATAGATAACTATGATTCAAATTTTTATGTTAATTTTAAGGTTCAAATTTACTTATACAGTTTTTGTAAAAAAATAACGTTTGAGAATACTGCTTAGGTATCATTAACTGTATTACTAATATATACAAAATATAAAAATGAGCTTAATAATAAAAAAAAGCAACTAAAAACTAAATTAAAAGTAAATCGATAATTAAACTAAAAATTGAATTAAAATTTAATTAAAGATATAATTTTCAGAAAAAACGGAAGGCAACGGAAAAACTTATGAAGTTATCACATTGTGACATCGGTCTTCTGTTTTTTTTGTCTTAAACCTTTAAGAGTTAATTTTTTGTATTTATTTTAAGTTGATTGTAGGCACTAGCTTTAAGTTGATAGAAGGTATTGCAAAAAATATTTATAAAAAGGGTTAATACACTATTAACCCTTCATTTTTGCAAAAAAATCCAAAATGTCACTATGTGTGACATTTTTTCAATACTAGTTCAAAATTTAGCTGATATAGATGAGCTGAACTGTTAATTTGAAATTAGCTATCAACTCAAACATCATTTTATGACTAAACGAATCGACAAACTTTGCTCCTAGTAGCTTTATAGTTTAAAAAAAAAAAAAAATTTTTACCAGGTACACTACTAGTAATCTACCTTCTGATAAGAAGCCACATCGCCAAAAGATATAAATAAAAATAGATGTACAAAGGTTGACAAAAAAATTACCATTTACATTGTCGAAAAGTAGATTCATTAAAAAAAAAATTTATCTTATTTAAAGTGACATTTTTCAAAAATGTATAAGGCAATAAAGCCCGGATTAAATTGTCCGATGACAAATTAGTTCAGCCCAAGATATTTAGAAGTCATTGGACGTTTTTATTAAAAAAAAATAAAAGATAAAAGTTTTTGAAAAATTAAAATTTACTTATTATAACTACAGTTAAAATAAAAACTTAAATAAACGACCAGAATGAAGCAAAATATTAGAGGTGATATCAAAAATCTTATAAAAACTACCACAATAATCCTGTGAAATATGAAATATGTACTCTGTTTAAATTTATACTAGGTATTTTTAAAGCAAACACAGTAAACATACAGTTAATACAAAATGCTAACAACAACAGTGATATATGCCGTTTGCGCTTAGGCAGAAATTCAAAAGTTTATTTAATGTTTTATTGATTCCAAGAAATAGGTATCTTGTTTTAGAAAATTACGCAATAGAATTATGACAAAAAAAAAATGTCCCATAACTTTTTAAATTATGGGAATAACAAATTGCAAAACTATGTTAAATTGATTCTCATAAGTTGTCGATTGTCGATTGGGAATTTATTTCATTACTTAAACTTCAGACAAAAAAATAAAACTTGACATTTACTTAAAAAAAAGTTTTTTGATTTATTTAGGCGCTGGTTATTAAGACGCTCTAGGAAACGCTTACCTTTTACATTCTTGCAAATTCGATTCATTAAAAGAATTTTTAATTGCGGATAATAAAAATGTATTTTTACCTCATAATAGCATCTTCTAAAAAAAAAGACTATCTTGCCTTACCCGCCTTCTAAAAATGACTACTTTGATTTAGCATCCGCCTTCTTCAAAAAAAAAACAACTACAAAAGGCTATACCTTTTTATTGATAATATTGAAATAAATATAGCCAATGCTAAAATTTGTTTAGATGTTAACGCTGATGATAATCTTATATGAAAAAAAAAAAATCAGATAGAGAATTTATCTAACAAATGTAAAAAAAATAAAACATCAAAAAGAATTTTTTGTAAACTAAGAGACATTTTAAATAAGAAAACTCAATTTTGTTTCTTTTAATTTTATTGCCATATTAACAATGCAAATATTTAATTGGCAAGTATTATTAAAAGCTTGAACCTTTTCATAGTCATTAGAGGCGCGTTTAACAAATTTTTGTGAACGTTTTTACTCTTGGAAAATCTCTAATAAGAAAAATGAGCGCATAAAATGTATTTCAACTTAATGTTAATAACATTCTTTGCTATATCTTCAAATGAACAATTAATTATTCACTGGTTTTCTTTCCTATAAATTTCTTATAAATCCTTATTACTTTGTAAATTTTAGATTCATTGACAAAATACTGTTTAAAATGTATCAAAAAACGAAAATAAACAAACAAAAAAAAAAACAGAGTATAATTTTATTTATAAAACCAAAATATTTTTTAACGTGCAATTTATATTCACAACTTTATGTAAAATCACCAAAAAAAATAATAAATATAAGAGCATTTAGTATTTTTTCATAATTTAATATTCTCTTGTTAAAAAAAATATTATTCTTATACCTGATGAATTGGCAATTTTCTCATTTAAAACAGCTATAACACAAAGCCATTTAAAACCGATCCATACAATTAAATGGGATATTTTGTAAAACATTTTCGATGCCAATGCATAAACTGCCTTTTGAAAGAATAAGTGTCTAAGTAAAATGTACATGTAATCAATATTTTTTAAAGATATTTTGAGAGCAAACAACAAAAATTTTAATTTATCTAAAATGCCAATATCTGCAGAGATTTAAGCAGTTTATGCAAACTGAAACTAGAAATTAAATTTCAAAACAAAATATTTTAAGTTATTATGTTTTAAAAATCTAATCCTGAGTGAGTTTTAAAAATCTAATCCTGAGTGAGTTTTAAAAATCTAATCCTGAGTGAGTTTTAAAAATCTAATCCTGAGTGAGTCTAAATCAACTACTTATAGTCAGCTTAACAGTTTAATAAAATAATAATAAAGTTTAATAAAATGATAATAAAGTTTAATAAAATGATAATAAAGTTTAATAAAATGATAATAAAGTTTAATTAAATGATAATAAAGTTTAATAAAATGATAATAAAGTGCTAACTTCAGTAGTTTACTGGGGTTAGATATTTTTTATTTATTTGGTAAATATTCTTGAACATTTTTGAGAGACGTTGTCATTATAGTTTGATATTGAACCAAACTGGAAAGCTCTATTCTAAAGTTGTTTGTATTTATAGCATACAAATATAAAGCTGTTAAAACAAAAAATAAAAGATTTTAAAATATTGAAGATCCTATTTTTTTTGTCGTTTAAAGAAAAATTTGCTTGAAAATCTGCCATGTAAATATCTTTTAACTCTACAACAACGGCCCTTAACTGAGAAATTTAACAGCTAAGGTTTAAATCTTCCTGACCAATAATTGTGATTGGATATGTAGTTGTGATGTCATTTGTAAGATTTGCTATTATGAAAGATTGCTGTTATGACTTTTTGTAGATGTTTTTTTCAAGTTGTGAGTTCAGATGACTAAATTTTGTGAACTGATACCAGCAGTTATACATAGTAGTTTGTTATATACTAGATTGCGGAGTAGGCACTTAGTTATATTATAAATGTCTAATACTATATTATAAGAGTAAGTATGAGGACTCTGAGAAAACAACGCTTGAGTTGCATTTGTGTTTATAAAAACGTTTTTATTTATATGTTTATATGTTTTAACATCTATTTATTTACATGTTTCAAATATTCAGTTAGTTAGGTAAAGCTGTTAGGAACTTACATAATATACTCAAATATAGAAGGTATCAGCATATACAATGGTGCAGCACGGTTTATAAACAACCTAGACAAAAAAAGGCTATGAAGCTAGGCTAGTGGGTTTTTAGTACCAGCTGGCAAACATTTTTAGTAAAAAATGTAGATATAACTTACAGCACTATAGAGTAAACTGTATTTAATGTCTCGAATTTATATTTAAACACTTAGAACTCTTACCATAATAAATATGTTTTTTAGTTATTACCTCAATAGCTATTATAGCTTTGGAAGGTTATTAATGCCTAGTAATAACTCTTTAAATTTTAGATTGTTTTAGTTTCTGAGCTAGCGAGTCGTCAACTGGCTTGCAATTAACCTTACGCTTGATAGGCAATAATCGTGCAGCCTGGACCAATTTTAGTAGGTATAATAAGAAAGTATTAAATTTTAAAACCTCTTTTTCATGTTTTTACAAATACTTTACTTGCATTTTTGTAGTTAAATCTTTGAGACATATAGCCCCTTGGCTATTTGTACATTTTTTATAAAAAAAAAGTTTTTTTTTTATGAAAAATGTACAACTAGGTGAGTATTATCTTTTATTTAATAAATGCTAAAAGGCTTTGTGTAAAAATCACATGGAGAAACACTAATAGTAAATTTAATAATAAAAAAAGAAAACAAAAATAAAAACATATAATTATAGTACGGATTCTAAAGTTTTTACTTATGTGTCATTTTTTTTCAGACAACAAAGTTTATGAGGTAACTTACTAAGGTTACTTATACAATCATTAATTGTCAAAGTAAACACGTGAAGTAGATTTTGCTTTGCTGTTTATTCATGAACAAGTAGTTCCTAGCTTCTTTTTTTTTTATCTTTTACAATGATTTTTATTTGTTAGGAGTTTTTTTCTATAGAGGAACAGACTTCATTTATGACTGAAGTATCAGTTAAAATGCTTTTGTTTTAAAAATGTTAAATCCTTTTACTTAACAATTTTACATGGTTTTTCTGTTGTGAAAGCTATTTTGTGTAACTTTCATGCAAGTAATCTTTCTGCATTTAAAAAACTGTTATCATAATATAAAAATGGCTTTGATAGCCTCTCAGTTTTATTCAACTGCACAAAAAATAATTTTTTCTATGATGCTGTGCATTTAAATAAAAACGTGAGAAATAATTTGCTGAATCAAATTAGGTTCTTGTTTCCCCATAAAGTTGATATTGTTGATTACTTAAATTAAAATCCAAGATTAATTAATTTCTTTGACTGTTTAAAAAATTGTTTCTTTTTTTCTCTGCAAAAATAACTTTATTTTAAATTTAGGCAGCCCAAGATGGACTACTGTTCAATTTTTTTTTAAACAACCCTAAGTTGTGTTTCTTTTCCTGACGTACAGCCATACCTGCTGCTTGCAATATCAGAGATGCTTTATGAGAGTTATTTTGACATAATTATGATGCTTCCAACCTTTTTACCAGATCAAAATTTTTGTTATATGATAATGGTCGTTCAGACGGTCTTGATGGAATTGACTGACGAGATGACGTTGATAGAATTGCATCATTAAATAGTTTCTTAACTCAACCAATCTGAATTGTTACTTTTATACTAGGGCCCTGCAAATTGGCAGTTTTTTTTCGAATCAAATCTTGAATCAAAGTAGGTTTCGCGATTCGAATCACATTTTGAATCAACATTTTGAAGTCTAAATCTAAGCTTTTTTTATTTAATAATATATATTTCAAAATAAAATAAAATAAAACAATTGTATAATCGTTTTAATGATGCTTCTTGCCCTGGTTAACCTTTTAATCTACTACTATTAACCTGGTTAACAGAAACAATTATTTCTGTTTTAGTATAGTTTATTTTAGAAAGGTTGTTTCTTTTCTGAACATAGTTTTTAGCAGATGTTTCAAGTTTTAATCTATCGTGTCCATTTTCTGCAAACATGTTTACTAAAAAAACATGTTTACTAAAATTTCATCATTAAGATACTTTATGGAATAAATTTTAATGGCACGAGATACAAAACCTTTAAAAACACCCATCATTATTTTTTGATTAACGTTTCTTATTAAAAACATAAAACCTAGATTACCCGATAATTTAACAAAAGAACAAAGATTATCTTTAAATAATTTGAGGAAAAAAATGAATGGTTTAGCAGTTTATCCATTTGATAAAGGAAAAGGGTTTGTACTAATAAATGAGGTGGACGCATTTTCTAAATTAGAAGAGGAAGTCAAACATTCAGTAACTATCAACTATGACCCGACTTAAACCCTTATGACAAAACTCCATAAATTATTATGCAAATAACAAAAACAAAAAAATTTAGATAACAAGACTTATTTTCAAATATACCCTTATGACAGCGTCCCTCCACGTTTATATGGAGTCATAAAAGCTCAAAAACCAGAAAAGAATAATCAAATGCAATCAGTTGTTTTTACCATAGGTACCCCCTCATATGGATCACCAGAGTTCTTATAAAAATTAAACAACTAACTTTAAACAAAAACAAAACAAGATTATTAAACTCTTCCTCGTTTGTCAACGAAGCGAAATCTTGGTAAATTGATCCTAGTGAAATTCAAGTCCTGTGATTATAGATATTTTAAACAACGATATTGACAACCTTAAAAAAAGAACCAAATTAACTCTTAGTGATATACATGAAATGATCGAACTCTGCCTCAACCAATGTTATACAAAAATGAAATAAGATCTATACCGAATTCGGGACCTATAGGATTGTTCTTAATGGTTGTAGCCGCTGAGGCATTTTTGCAGCATTTGGAGACAAAAGCTCTTGTTATTGCTGAAGTTGGTCATTTTTTGCCAAAGACTTATAGAAGGTATGAAAATGACAGTCATGCAAGATTCGACTCTATACAAAATCATGATAAGTTCCTGGATTTGTTAAATAAACAAGATCCAGCAATAAAATATACTTCAGAAAAGGAAAACAATAAAAAAGAGTTAAACTTCTTGGATATAACTGTAAGCAACACTAATAACTTATACTATAACTTCAAAATCCATCGAAAGTCGGTTATTACTAATATACAGATAAAACCAACATCAAACGTTAATCCAAAAATAACGATGGGTGTTTTTAAAGGTTTTGTATCTCCTGCCATTAAAATTTGTTCCACAAAGTATCTTAATGATGAAATACAGTTTTTAGTAAACATGTTTGCAGAAAATGGACACGATAGATTAAAACTTGAAACAACTGCTAAAAACTATATTCAGAAAAATAACAACCTTTCTAAAATAAACTATAGTAAAACAGAAACAAGTAAATATACAGTTAAGCTTCCATGGCTCCCAAGAATAGGTTCAAAACTTAAAAAAAAAACTTAAACATTACAACGTCAGAATAATTTTTACTACACCACCTACATTAAAAAACATCTTATGCAACAACAAGTCAAAGTTAATTCCCAATAACAATCCCGGTATCTATAAACTCTCATGTTCTTGTGGCAGTATATTGGCGGAACAAAATTTTTTTAACGACATGCTTTGAACATCAAAAAAACTATTTAAAAGGTAAATGGAATGCAAATGATGCAACTGAACACGGTAGAGAATGTAATGGTATGTTTGATTGGTCAAATCCGAAAATTCTAGTAATAAAATCAGAATACGATGAATGTAAAGTTAGAGAATCACTTGAAATTAATTACGCCTCAACATACCAGGGAATAAATCACGCTCCTATACTTCTCAACCGTGACAATAGCGTTAAAATTTCTACAAACAGTTGGAGATCCTTTTTTAAAAAAATTATCCAAAAAAACGGACTTAAATAATATTTGCTAATTATATATTTTCGTTGTTACGTATCATCTATGGCTTATTTTTCATGTCTTCTTTTACGCTTTTATGTAAT